TTCATTTGTAACCCACACAAACAATATCATGGTAGAGTTATCTGATGCTTGAGAATGTTGTCATGGCAGTTCAGGCTGTTATTTTCAGACAGGGAAGGTTGTTTATTGGCCATCTTTCCTTTTCATGTGATACTTATGCCTCAACATTGAGCTGCAGAGTGAGACGTGTGCTTGTGAAAAGCATGCTTTACCACACAGAGTCAGACAATCTTAAAATGTTTGAGATAAGCAAAGATTTTCTTTGAGATAAAAGATAGACAAAAATAGACAGCCAATAAACAAAAAATCACAATGCTCGACTGGCACCACAGGCAGACTTTCTCAAAAGTGTCATATAAACTGACAAAGTTATGGATACTCATTTCAGTTAATATTGCAATGTTCACCAGGTGAGCACAAACTTCTATGGACAAGTTGTGTTTTTTTTTAAATGTGCATTGTGCCTTTTATTGGACTGGACTAATGAGGCCTATGGTGACGCTAACTGTTAACATTTTGTCGCAATGGTAGTTGCTCGATGAAGATGAGCAAATATTAGCAAATATTTGTTTGAATATTTGTGCTATACAAATAAACGTGACAGATCAAGATCATAATAACGATGAGGAAGATCATCATGAAGAAAGGCCTTCAAAGTTGAATCTGTTTTTTAATGGTCCCTCTGCTGCACCATCAGTGAAACTGAGATCTTCCAAGTGTTTTTTTTTTCAGGAGGTCTAAAACAACACTGCAACATCTGATCTGCAAGTCTAGGTGCATGTGCACTGGAGTCCAAAGGTGTTAGACCACAGCTTTAAGTTTTATGATTACAATGATATTTGTAATCTGTTTGGCCTATTGACACTCGCTGTTATGTACTTCGTTACACATATTGACGCAGCAAAGCCCTGTAGAGCATAGTGACCTTTTAGTCAAACACTGGACGTGGAGCGGCATACCAAAATATTTAACTTTCCGCACCCCTAGACCAGAGGCTTCCTTTCTGGTTATACAGAGATAGAGGGAAGGAAATGATTGATGGAAAACAGGTTAGGAGTCACAGTCGTCTATACATCTAAAAATACATATAGTTTAGGGAAATAATGGGTTAAGTCTTTCTCATTACTAGCTGTGTAAGTGTTTAACTATAAGAATGGCAGAATCCATTCAATGTCTCTTCTAGTACAGTATCTACGTAATAATCAAGAAACTTTACTGCCGTACCATGAGTGCAGCAGGCGTAATGATATGACGCAGCGCCTGAAAATAGGCCACCTTCCGTCAACACAACGGAACTATTTTCAGGCGCTGCGTCATATCATTACGCCTGCTGCACTCATGGTACGGCAGTGAAGTTTCTTGATTATTACGCAGGAATGAGAGTATAGTTCCTAGCCATATCAGCCTAGAAAATCGCAACTTTACATTTTCCGTCGGTCTTAGTGCACGATGTAACTACAAAAGAGTCAAATTTTAAATAGGAAAAATATCGAAACACTTTGGTCTTTTTTTTTTTAGAAATGCTAATGGTCTTGTCCACTTCAATGATGTATGCTAAGCTATGCTAAAAGTGGTACCGCCAGAACCGGAGATCGGCTGAATGGATTCAAAAACGGTAAAACTCAACAGTTTAACTCTGGGGGAGTTGTAAAATGAGCCTATTTCCAAAAAAAGTGGAGTATCCCTTTAAGCTGATCTAATCAGAGTGAACAAAACTGTTGGACACTGTTTCCAATGGCCATTACCAAGTTCAGTCAGCTCAGGCATCACTCAGCACTGCTTTATTACACAGCTCAAGTACCTCTGCATTCCTCAGAGCGGGGGCTTATTATTATTAATCTGTCTTTCTGGAAGGGAGAAAGCCTTGGGCAGATGTGCATCAAAATAGTTCGAAAAAAAAAGAGACCTTGAATGTTTCTTTTAGGTCCCCATAAGATGGCCAATTCAATAAAGATTGAATTCATAAAGAGAAACCAAATACACTGTATCTGGCACCATTGCTAGGTAAGGAGGTTATATAGCGCCTCCATGTGGTTCTAAAAGAAACACAGCTGAGCAAATGTAGGATTTCAATAACAGAAAAGCCAGAGACATGTCACTATAGAAAATGCCATTCACACTACTCTTAACCCTGGGTTATCTTTTTTTAATCCCAAATAATCAGTCCTAAACTAAACTAAGTTTTTATAATCACACAAACTTTCACAAATTTAGTGTCTGAGGGTTAAAAATGACAATCCTTAACACTCCTATGCATTTTCCTTTATTTATTTGTTTTGTAGAGTTTCAGAAGACTTGAGCACTTTGCATGGTCATTTCCACAGATGGAGAGCCAGTTAAATGGGGAATTCACCACTGGTGTCTGGTGTCAATCATTATGTCTCCCTATGTCTTTAAAGTCCCCCTGCGGTAAAAATCAAGCTTTTAATGTCGTTTATATGTCTATGTGGTGGTTTTAATATGCTTTAAGACAAACCATGTGCAAATGCATGTCAACACCATTGCTGAGTATTTTCTCCTTAAAACTGCAGTGAACCAAAGACAGTTTCAAAAACGTGGTTCGAAATCGCTGGTGTTTCTGACGTCACAAACTACCTTGTAACCAATCATGTCAACGTGTGATCGTCAACGAGTGGATCTCTGAGCTGGTGTGAATGAGTGGAGGCAGGGCTAATTTGCATATTCGAGGCAAGGGTAGAGTTACATTCACGAATTGTTTTTCAAGGAAAAAACGTCATTTTGGAAAAGAGTCATTTTGGTGAGTTTTAAGGGATAAAATTATTGACGGGGACTTTAAGGCGTTAGTTTCTTCAGTTCATTGTCTGGTATCATCTTTATTTCATGTGGTTGTGTATTAGTTTTCTCATGCAATCTTCTGTGTGTATCTTTGTGGATTAATAAAGAATTGTTTGTTTGAATTTTTTGAATGGGTGCAGGTAACACAGAGAAAGAGTACACGTTTACACTACATTTACACTAAAAAAGTTGCTTCCTTAAATGTTTAAGTACAATCAACTTGGATGTTTAAGTAATTTCAACTTAAATTATATTAAATTGACTTAAGCCTCTTCGATCAAAAATGACTTTTACGTTTTGAAATTTATTTATTTTTTGCTTACTTTTGTCGCATTAGCTATGTGAACATACAAAAAAATCATGGACAGGATTTGGATATGTTAAAGGGTCGTAAAAAACACTTGGCTCCTTCGCAGTCAAAAATGGCCGACATAGGAAATGAATGGGAAATACGAAAAAATACGAAAACTCAGAGAAACTTTTGGTGGTGCAAACTACAAATCAGCCACTGTGCAGAAAAAAAGCAGTGAAGGGGTGACACTCTAAAATATCAAGAGTGCAAATTAGACAACCACGCACACACACACACAGCCACACACACTTTATTGATTTTTTTAAATAAAATCAATAAATGAAAAAAAAAATACAAAAGAGACTCCCTCTCGCTCACACACGCACACACGCACACACACACACACACACACACACACACACACACACACACACACACACACACACACACACACACACACACACACACACACACACACACACACACACACACACACACACACACACACACACACACACACATTTTCCAGTCAATCACAGAATCAATCAATCAATCCCTTATTTTGTTAGATTTTTTAAATTATCAAATACTGAGTAACAAAAAAGCTTTCTATGTCTTCACATTTCTAACCAAATATTATTGTTTGATTATAATCATAATGAAAAACCTGATACTTAACTAACCAATATCTAAACCTTGACAAAAAGTAGTATTTTAGAATGTCTAAATATATTGCAAAACCTAATAAAATTAAGAAATGATGTCTAAAAAAGGTGGCACTTTTCTCACTTCAAAATCGGATTTTAAAGGCCTCCACTCTATTTTAATATGAAATATTGCATTTATTGAAATAAATAAATAAATATAGATATATGTATATTAATTCTAATGGAAAAAAAATAGCTCATAAAACTTTTATAAATATTGCTTTTCATAAAATTCCTTTAAAAGTGTAAATATTAATAAAAAATATTATTGAACAAAAATATAGTACATCGGTTTTCCTGAAAAAAAAAGAAGTTACATTTCAAGGCTTCGTTCACTTTTGACCGCGACTGAGCTAAATGAAGAGGACCAGAAGGTTAAAAAATGAGTTGAATCTTGTATAACTTATATAAAAAAAGTTTAAAAATGCTTAACTTATTTTGACGAGTAAAAGCAATGTAAAAACATATGCTGTCATAACGTATTTATCATATAATTGTTTACAGTGTATAACATTGTGACAATAGCTGGTTGAGAATGGTGAATATATTGTTTTTAAAAGCTCCAGTAGATTAATTTGGCCACTAAACAATTCTTGCTAAAGAAGGATTTTGAAATAGCACACTGATTTATCATGTATTTAAAAATTCTTCCAGTATGTCGTTATCTGGGTTTAAATATTTTGTTAAGCCTAGTTATCAATTTATCAATTAAAATAGCTCCCTCAAAATATCTAACCTGTACAAACTTACTGATCTGTGAAATGTCGATTTAAATCTGTGACATCTATTTAAAGCAGTTGGGAAACTGAGCAGGTATGGAGGGAATTTGGGGCCATTGGCTCTTCTAAACAAACACTCACTTCTTATCTCACTGTCTAAAACGACTCAGCTTTCAGTTCCCACTTGATTTCAATCCTGTCTATGCTTGATGAGAACCCAGCTTTCAGGTAATTCCTAAATGTAGGTCAGTGCCATTAGGAAACTACAAAAGTGATGACAACTTTTCACAAGCACCTCCCCGTGGTTCATATTGGTGACTGCGGCATGTCACTCTAGTGCGCCCAATGCGCCCACCCCTTTTGAACTCTTTTGCTGTGTCATGTCCATGTGCGGACCCTACACTTGCCACCCATTGGATACTGATCCTATTTATTTGCATACAATTGTCTCTTTGCTGTCCTATTGGTTCCAGTAAGCAGGTCACCCCCCAGAGGACCTCATGATTCTTGATTAGCTGGAGTTGGTGCTGTATGTGCTCATGTTTCGTCCCCCTTCTGTTTATTAATACATATAAACAGATTAAATGTTGCCTGGGAGACCTGTGGCATATGTTTAAACTCGGTCAGAGAGAGGCCAGACTACCGCTGCCCTTTTTTCATGTTCAGTTGGCTACCAGCTCTTCAGTTGGGGTTCACTTCATGGTTATTGTCCTGGATCCTTGTTATCTGAGTCAAGTTGAGGTGAGTTGATGAATTTATATATATAACAGTTTTCTCAAAGTTTTTTGATGTTTACATTGGCATAGTATCATAGCTCTAGCTATCTTTAGACTTGCCATATCACTACCTACTCACTGCACAGTGCTTTCGTGGTTTTTCTTTCACACATTGTTATTATTGGCGATAGTTTCAAGAGTCTGGAAAGCTGGAGGAAAAGTATGAATTGAAGACAAATGCTATCTACTTTGCCTTGATTACAGTTATTAGTCTCCTGAAAACAACATGTAAAATGCTAATATGTAACATGTTTAAGTAAACACGTTAAAGGAATGAGCAGTTGTTCGAGATGGGGAGTTTTTGAGATCATTGGCACTGGTGGAATGTGCTCTGTCTGTTCCTGCTGCCAGTGTCTGCAGCAGCTGCTCTCTGTGTCCCACTGAGACTGGCATAAGAAATACCAGCCCTGTCTAGCTAGAAGATGGTGAATGGGCATTTCTAGACACTAAAATCATACACTGAAAAGAAATTGGTGTAGAAACTCCAAGAAATTACTAGTAAATTTCACACTTAATTACAAAGTAGTAGCATATTAAATGAAACATTACATTTTGAAGTAGAAAGACTGAAATAGAAAAAACACACTTTGTATTCTTTACAACTATGAAAAGTACAAAAAAAATGTACAGTGCGGAGTCCGGGCAAAGTTAATAAAAAAAATAAAAAAATGGATTCCTCTTTTTGTTGATTGACAGCAAAGATGCGTATGTTTACATTTGATTAACTTCCTGCTTATTACATGTCCGCCAGATGCAAAGGCATTTATGTACCAATGTGTACATGTTCTTTTCAACTGATCAAAGGTCCACTCGCAGATGTTAATCTAAGCATTTCAGACGAACGCTCTCTATAAGTGTGTTCATGATCAGTCAGCTGTTCGACAAGTTTATGCAGCTGTCCCACAATGACGCATTAGCTTCAGATTTCCTCTCACCATCCTTAGCATCCCTCGGGACTCACAGTTCACAAAGTACATTGTACATACACTTAAAATCATAAATGAACTTAATGGCTAACCACAAGAATTTTCACCTAATATATTTACATAGGTCAACATATAAAATGGAGGATCAAGAAATGAACTTTGAGCAAGCTTATGGACCTCTATCGGAGACAGAAAGAACATTTGATCCCTTATTTATTGAAGAGGAAGATGAAGACTACTTTGAAGATTGCTTGGAAGAGATCCAGGCTGCTCTAACTCTTCCTGAAGAGTCCATGCCTTATTCACAAAAATGCAGAAAAGCTTTGCAAGCTGAGTTTAATGGACTTATGCAACAGATGTTGGCACAGCTAGATGTTTTTGATGCAGCACATCCAACCACATCTGCACCACTGGAGATATTTTCAGAAACAGAGAACAAAATGGACAAGAATGGATTCGCAAAAACAATCAAGTTTAAAGAGACGTGCCTTCCAGAGAAAGAGCAAACTGTGTTGGAGGTCGAAAATGATGCTGCAGGGGTTCCTGTCGAGGCAAGGCCTGAGTTGTCTGCCACCATGGAATTACAAAAGCTCAGAGCAGCATTTGAGAGCTGTATTGAGGAGGTGGGCCAGTTGGAGCGCAGAAGGGATGAGTTGGTTCAGGAGCTTCTGGAGCTAGAGGAGCCCATGGCCCAAGAGCTGCAGACTGTAAGGGAAGCTCTGGGGGAGGAACAAGGCCTCCTGTCCAAAGTCAGACTGGAGAGACAGAGCCTGCGGGAGGAGACGCAAATGACTAAGAAACGCCTGTTCATAGCGGCTCGAGACTGTACACAGAGACAAGTAGAGCTTGAATTACAACAGAAAGAGGTGGAGCAGCTCAACCAAGCTCAGGTAGTGTTCATTAAACCAGACTGGTGCGAATGCATTCAAACTGCTCCAGAAAAGATGTAGATTATTTTATTCAACTTAACCATGATTTTTACATCAACTGCAAAGAGGACTTACAAATGTAGTTTACAACTTTGTAGCAAAAGGACACTAGGCACTGTAGCCAGGTGTTAGTTGTAAAGTAAGGTGAGTTTTTTTGGGGGGCCTTCCCAGTCAGGCCATATATATATATATATATATATATATATATATATATCAGGGCCATAAGCATCATAAACATTGAGGTCATAAGCATCATAAACATTGAGGTTCTCCCCCCAATAAGGACATTCATTGTTGTCCACCAACATTACATTAGAGTAGACATGAATAAGATTGAATATGTGCATATTTTAAAATAAAATTTAAATGTTAAATTTTAAAACTTAGAATACTTCATAACTGTAATAGACCCTGAACTTTAACCATTCTTATATCTTTTTCTTAATTCCCTTAAATTCAATTTAATACTTTAATTTAAAGTTAAAATGTACCCCCACCCCCCACACAAGTCAAGTCAAGTCATCTTCATTTATATAGCGCTTTTAACAATGGAGATTGTTTCAAAGCAGCTTTACAGAGATAAACATACAATTTACGGTAACAGAGATTGTTTGGCTTTATAGCGATTTTTGAATAATGGTATTTCCAGCTAAAAAACTTCACGCAAGTAAACAAAACAAAAAAAACTTTAGTCCCCCCAATATGTTAAAGACTATAGTTATGGCCTTGATAAATATTATTTTGTATTTATTTTTAAAAAATCTATGCAATACATTCAAGTTAAGGTATTCCATCCTGCATTCACAAAATCAGGAGGAGCTGAAGTCCCTTGCTGTTAAGATGACTGAGGAGATCACCAAGATTCATTCAGATCACCAAAGCCACCTGCAGGAAATGCAGAAGCAGCAGAACCTCACTCAAGAATCCAGCAAGAGGAAGACCCGCTCTTATGTGACTCAAGGACGACGGGCCTCTTGTGACCTACAGCAGTACCTGCATGGTGGGATAAAAGCTCTGGAGGAGTTTTACGAACCCCGGTTAGAGTCCCTGTTAAAGAGACGGGAGGTCACCATGGATGCTCTCGGTAAGGCTAAAGAGCAGTGCCTGGAGATGAGAGCCCAGTTAGGACCACTGAGACAAGAAGAGCAGGCGCTGAGACTCCAGAGAACTTGTCTGGAGGAGAGGATCCGACTAATGGAGATACAGAGGAGGGAAAATGTGGAACAATATCGGGTGTGTAATTTTCATTGATTTTACATTTTTAGATTGCATAGTACTGACGGTTCAATGTTCTTCATTCAGGAGACGGTGGACATCTTAGAGGAGAACATCAGAGAACTGAAAACTCAGCTCAAGATCCAGATAAAGAAGAGTGAAGAATTGGAGATGCTGAAGAAAAGCATGGCCAGAGAGCTGTTCTTCTACAGGCAAGTACAAGCACTTTTTAAAGGACAGTTTCTCATTGCACACTGCAAAGTAATTTAAGGGGAAATTAATATTACACAATGCACCTAATCAAGTGACAAAAACTATCTCTCCCATCTTAATGTGATTTGTCCTAACCAGATTCTAGTTTTCTCGCTCTCTTGCACTTTGCTGGATAGCCCCGCCCACAAAGATATATTATTTATCCAAAAGCATACTCTACATATATAAAAAATCTGGCTGGCTGTAATCATAATGCATTTCCACTTTCAATGTGAACAGACAAAAGACTTTTACTTATATCTGGAAACTGGTTGCATTGCATCTGGTTTGGACATGGTGTTAGATGGCATATCTATATATATTTTTGTATCTATATTTTATATATCCTTTATTGTTTTACAGAGAGCGTGTAGAGGGTCCTCACAAGCAAGAGAACAGTGTGGTGGTGGAAAAAACCTAATGAACTCATGTTTGCTATTAATTATCTCATTAGTTATGTTAAATGCTTTTGATATATTGGTTTCATAGTTTAATCCAAATAACCTGTATTCTCATAAACAATCACCAAAACAATAACCACAATTTACTGAAGACTTAAGTCAATGTTCTCTGCAAACCATTTTTAGTTTAAAGTTCTCTGAACACCAGGACCAAGCACGTCAGATATCCAGATCTTTATCTGACATGAATGTACTTAAAACAGTGTTTTTTATTGTTTATAAGAGGGAATAAGGCTTTTATATCCAGTGGTGCCTGTGAATTAAGTGCTTTCTCTTATAAGTAAGTGAAGTGAGCAAAACAAGGACTTATTTGGGCACCGTAAGAAAGCTCTATAAACATACCAACAGCATGATGGTGAGAACGTTTAGATAAGGGACTATGAGAAGATTAATTAAGTGCTTTGTTGATTTAAGGTGTCTTGTTAATAAGATCTGAGATAAACGAATTAGACATTATGTTTATATGACTTGTACCTATCGCGGATCGACTACCAGGATACAAACTATCATAGTGACAGGGGGCATGTTTTTTTTGTTTTGTTTTTTAAATAAGATTGAAGAAGAACCTAGTTCAAGACATTTTGATTATTAAAAATCTAGATAATGACAAAAAAATAAAAAGGTATTTTGTTGAGGAACACTGGCTTTAGTTCAGTCATTTTGTTGGCTTTTATGTGTGAAACAAATTCCTCCAAGAAAAGTATTTTTTGGTGTTTTCACTTCAATGTAAATATGGCACTGTTCATGCCTCAAGTGATCCAATTACAAATGATCAGGCAAGATAGATTATTGTTTATACCTATCCAGCTCAAATGCAGCCATCTCTGCTGATTTCCAACTTATTTCAAACTTGAATAACTTTAATATTTTATTTCAATTATAACTATTGCTGATGACACTCACTTCATTTGATGTGACAAGTAATCTCATTCAAATGTCAAGCAACTAGCACTTTACATACTTAAATACATATAAATGTTGCCTTGCCAATGCTTTACTATTGTTTTTATTCACTGACTTTTAAATAAGTAAAAAAATGACAGTACTCTTCCAACGAGGACAATTCCGTTTTCTTTTTTTACATCCCTGTGCAAGCCAAAAAAAATAAAATAAAAAAAATACTGGGAAATATTACCTGATTTTATCTGAAGGTCACTGGCCGTTAAATACAATGACTTAATACATTATTTGAATGGGCCCTTTAACACATTCTGTTGACTAAGTTAACGTTTCACCTACATTTCAACTAACTCTCATTAGAATGTTAGCATTGATAGACTGGTAGGGTTAGTTGACACGTAGTTGCAAAGTTACTTAGTCACAGATATTAAGAGTTCGCAGATATTTAAGCAGACGGTCTACTAATAATGGTTAGTTGACACGTAGTTGCAAAGTTACTTAGTCACAGATATTAAGAGTTAGCAGATATTAAGCAGACGGTCTACTAATGGTTAGTTGACATGTAGTTGCATTGTTACTAATGGTCAACAGAATGTTCAAATGGGACCATCAAAATAAAGTGTTAGCCATTATTGTTTTTAATATCCTTTTGTTTAAAGCCAATAATTGACTGAGGTAAAAGGGTCTTACCCATAGACTGTAAAAAATAGGTCTTACCTCAAAAAACGCACCATTCCCGTCAGTACCTGTGCACGCGCGGCTGCAGTGAAGCGCGAAAACAAAGCAGAGAAGCCCACACACAAACAGGCAGCCCGCCTTAACTCACGCCAATGGCAGGCAGTCAACTTTTTGATCGTCTAAGACACGTGGGTCGGTCAAAATAAGTTTTAGTGCAAGTGAAATTTTTCTAATTTTGTGACTTCATGAGATTTATCTAAAAGACATTCAGTATTTAAAACCGTAAATCTTGCAAAAGCTATACACCAACATTTAAAATAAATTGTATCAACAAAAACAGTTTATTCATAATGTTCTGTACAAAGGTATGGACATACAGGAGAAAGACACTGAAAAGTCACAATATTAAAGACATTAAACACCACTTGACCGATACATGAAGCTCAAAGTAAAAAGAGTACACAAGAGCTTAAGTTATCAATACACCTAGCCATGTAATTGAACGGATGCTTAAATGGAAAAAGAATTTGTCGGACAAGTTAAAAAATAATCTAAAGAGCATCAACATTGTACCACTGCACTCTGGCCACAATTTACTACACACCTGTATACACTTTTCGGAGATTAAGTAATACTTTAAGTACACTTAAACTGCAAGGAAATCCACGAGACACTGGTGGGTGAGATGGGTCATTTGTCTCACATTCTGATATTGACCAATGATCAACTGACATTTTTCTTAGAAAAATACTCTATTAACATAGTAGAAAATGCCTGGTGGGGAAAGTGTCAATTCTTCCTTTTCCATTACTTAGGGGAGAGTTCTTCACGTGTATAGACAGTTTTTAGAAGAGTTTTGTCTTATGCTGAGAGTGGGGTGATGTAAAGAGCTGTTTTATCCCTGAACCTCAGTGTCTGCTGCCCCCTCTGGGTCCTCGTCATTGTAGATGTTCTCCGCCTAAATAAATCAAAAGAAATACACATAAATAACTGAACTACAAACACAACTACAAAGGTTGTGCTAACAATTACACAAGTAACTCTTTCCATAATATATTAAGGGGTGGCATATACTTTGTCAGAGAGAAACAAAAAAACAGGCTACATCATGACTGAACGGTTTATTTATTGCAGAGGTGCTGATGCTAAACTCAAAGTTGAAAGAAATAGGCTTAAATGCCTCACCATCTGCCAGACTTGCATGATGTTGTCCTCAGACACTGAGCAAATCACCCACGGTTCATTTGGATTCCAGGAGAAGTCAGAGATCTTGGCTGTATGGCCTCCATGGATAAACTGAATAAAAAAAAGTTATCAATAATATGTGAATAACATGACCTCATAGAGCAGTAAAATGACAACTAATCAAAATATATATATACACATTTAAAATAAAAACGTAACCGCATTACTACTCACCAGCAGCTCCGGAGGTCCATCCTCTGCATCTTCTGGCGACTGTTCCTCTCCGATTTTACTGTACAAAACCCCACCAAGGAATTCTTATTAGCAGTGTGAAAAGACCCGTATGATAAAATAGTTCACATTTAGTGGTAGTCGTGAGTAAACGGAAAGTGAGACAACCTACCTGAGATCCCAAACATTGAGTCTCCTGTCTGTTCCACTGGAGGCCAGGATGGTCTCATTATGAGGTGACCACTGAACCTGTGGAAACATTTCAAGAATTCATGAAGTCATACTCAGTTTTTACATTTAACAATTCTATCTGCAATGAAGACAAAAAGGGAGATGATACCTGGAAGATTTCATCTTTGTGCGACTCAAATGAGTGAAGTTTCAGCTTGAGGTTTCGCAGATCCCACAATGCAACAGTCTGTGAGGGACAAATAAAATCAAAACGTGGAAGTCTAAATAGCGATGCGCATTTAAAGAGTATTCACAAGTGCAAGACAACCAAATGCTGAATGTAGCTCTCACTTTGTCAGCAGAACCAGTGGCCAGAATGAATTCGCTGTATGGGTTGAAGGACAAACAGTTGACCTCTGCAGTGTGGGCATCTACCGCATGACTGGGTTTGGACGTGTTATTGGACCGTGTGTCCCAACTAAAGGAAGAGGAAATAGTTTAAAATACTCCTCACATTCAATAACCACAGACTGAACAGTTAAATATCCTTTTAAAATTACATTTTGTGCTACAAGACATTAAGAGTACAGTAACAAACAGGAAGACAAAAAGTACTTACATCATAAGCTTCTGGTCATCTGCAACAGACCCAAAGAGAGACTCGTGCAGCAGGTGCCAGGACACGTCCTCCACTACAGCAGTGTGACCAGTGAAAATGGTCTTGGCATCCACTATTTTCCCCTCCTTTGGCACTGTGCTGATGTCCCACAGACAGATGGTCTGCAGAGAAACAGAAGAACTCATAGGAGCATGCACAAAAAGCAAGATCCTCTACATCAGGTTACCAACCTTTCTTGTCAGTCAAACCCTTATGACCTAAAACATTTATTTAGAGATTGATTTTTTCCAATTTAATTTAGCATCGGCTAAATCTAGGGTACATAAAAGCATAGAGTAATACCTGAACCCCCAACAGTTTGCAAATATACAGCTTAAGTCATCATATAATTAAGTCAATGATAGTGAGAGTTAGAGGTGGTGGGAAAAATCGATTCTTAGATGCATCACAAGGATGTGGATTATTCTGAATTGAATCACAAATGTCGAACATTGATTTTCTAAATGTTAATTGATAACGTAATATTGACGGAACGCAAAAGGCGCCTGGACAGTCTGTGGTGTGCAGCTGTGTACATAACAGAGACGCATGATGGTTGAGCGAGAAATCTGACCGGCACCCTCTGCATTAAAATCTAGCGTAACGTTGGCTTCTATGAAGTTGAAGGGAAAAAGGACCTGGACAAGAGCCACACTTTATGCAAGTAGGGCTCCAGACTGCGACCAAATAGGCGACAAGAGGTCAGACTGGTGCGACCACCATGTTGTCCAATTGATAAGAGCTGCAACTTGTGTTACATATGAGAAACATCAAACAAAACGAAAGTGAAACGAAACCCTATTCGTTTGAGCTGAGCTGAACGTTTAGCGCAGCGCGAGCTCAGAACAGGTTTACTTGTGGGCCGATCTCAATCACGTGACATTTTTATTACACAGCGCTGGGCGATCCAGTGAGAAAGCGTTTGAATTCACTGCATTATTCTGTTATAACCACACGTCAGATTAAACAGCGCTGACGTGGAAACCATGACAAGCTTAAAAGCTTCCACCCAACTCGGAAAATACAAACTCTATCGCAACATTTCCAAATCACTTCCATTTGTTTAATTAATAAAATAAATTGAAAGTAAATTCATTATGGATCATTACAAATACTTTGCTTTAAAAGTAACAAGTAGTCACACAGTGAGAAAAAAGAAAATCTGTGTAGAAAAAAAAAAATGCATCGATAATCGTTTTATCATTGCAGCCCTCTGAATCGTAATCAAATCGTGAGGTGCCTAGAGATC